CTCCCTTACAGAAAGATAATACAGTAATAGAGCAGAATTAATAAATTTTCAGAATCGGAGAATCTGAGTTCAAGCCCTAACTCTCTATAATGAAGGTAGCTCTACTACTGAAACAATAATAGCACCAAACTGTTGTGAGGCTTCAATCAGTTAAAACCTACAAAGCAATTACAATACACAGTAAGCCCTCAACAAATATTAGCCTTACTATTATTCCATTATAGTCACCTGACTCAAAGTGAGAATTACATGAGGTTTGCGAAAGGATAACAAATTCTAACAAATTTCAACCCAAGACCAACCCACGTACCTTTTGGCAACTTTCATGCTCAATGATACTACTCCAAAAAAAAAAAAACGAAAGAGAGAGAGAGAGAGAGAAAGAAAAGAAAGAAAGAGAAAATAAATGAAAAAGAAACTTAACAAATTCAATTCTGCTTCTTCTGAAAACTGTGGTGGCAAATATAATTGAAAGTTGCCATAGATTTAATTTAAATTAACATGACATATATATTACTTCAAGTGCAAAGGTAAAAAATGTTGATCTGAAATCTATAGAAATGCAATGTGACCAGCTACACATCTCTAAATAACAGACCTAGAATCACAGATGATACGATATGATTACATAATCTGTATAATACTTTAGTATTATATAATTACATATATCTTTGGTCCTTACATATCTACTTACACATATTCTTCCTCTTCCTCGATAGTATTATAATTCCTTTGGTGGGCTCTGGTGTCTCTTTTGTACCCAATAACAATGATGAACAACAGTGAAATCATTGGATTAAAACAACATCTAGGTGAGAATCTAACCATGCATCTGATTTGAACTTTGCATCAGCATAAACACTCCATGGTACACACAGGTAATACGGCCTGAAGATGGGTTATGAGTACACACTGGAGTCTGACACCTGGGATCCAATTCCAACTCCACCACTTAGTTTTTGTGGGACCTATGGGACCTAAGAAGCCTGTTTCTCACTCCATAAAACTGCAGTAATTTTACCTACTTCTTAGGATTATTCTGAGGACTAAAAGAATATATATGAAGCATTTAAAATAATGCCGGTGCTAAAATATTTAGGGGCAAAGTTTTGATGTCAACAATTTACTTTAAAATGCATTAAAAAAATGGACTGAGTACTTAATGCCACTGAAATACACGCTTCAAAATATTTAAGATGGTAAATTTTACATTCTGTGTATTTTACCACAATTTTAAATTAAGTAAAAGCAAAAAATTTTTAACAATTTTTAAAAATCAGATTGAAAGATGGATATGATAGTTATTCAACCATCAATGGCAGAATCTAGGCGGTGGCTATGTGAACGTTCACTTTCAACTTTTCTGTACGTTTGAAGATTTCACAGTAAAATTTTAGGTAAGAAAACAATGCTGGCACCTAGTAGTTTGTATTTATCATCTACTAGTCAGATACAATAGCAAATATTCAGATAATGAGCTCTTTTTTTTTTTTGGTGGAATTTTAAAAAGTACCTTTTACCAGCCATCTGCAATTTTATTATAGCCATGCTGAAACTAAAAGTGGTTTATGTGAAACTTCTTAACCAGTATAGATCTATGCGGTTTCAAGTTAATTTATTCTAAGATACCAAGAAATACAGAAACCAAGTCAACAGATATGACATGCGCTTAGTGATTGATGATTTGACTAAACAAAACAATGGAAAGACAAGGATTAGAATTATTTTTTCCTAACTTTCCATTAGCTGCTTAACCCAGTAAATTCCCTAACTACCAGCACCTTAACAGGTATCTGAATGTACAGGAGCACATTGCATATACACAAATGCTTCAGCAACTTTAGAATGATATCCAAGTCTTCCTCTAGTTTTTCTCCCCATTCCTACTGGTAATTTCAGATTTTAACATGTTTAGTGCTACAACAGTAACTCACACATGCAGTACAGCAATTTAAAAAATCAGACAGTCTCACACTCATCAGGATGATTACTTCTGAGAATAAGATAACAAGTGTTGGCAAGGATGTGAATAAACTGGAACCCTTCTGCCCTGCTGGAGGGAATATAAAATGGCAGCCATTGTTGAAAACAGTACAGTAGTTCATCAAAAAATTAAAAATAGAATTACCACATGATCTATCAATTTCATTTCTGGGTATACACCCAAAAGAATTTAAAGCAGGGTCTCAACAAGATATTTGTACACCCATGTTCCTAGCAGCATTATTCACAATAGCTAAAATGTAGAAGCAACCCAAGTGTCCACAGACAGATGAATGAATAAGAAAATGTAGTATATACATACAAAGGAATATCATTTAGCCTTGAAAAGAAATTCTGACACATGCAACAACATGGATGAACTTTGAGGGCATTATCTAAATAAAAAAAAAAGGCACAAAGAGACAAATACTGTATGATTCCATTTATACAAGGTACCTAGAGAAGTCAAAACATAGAAAGTAGAATGGTGGTTTCCATGGGTTAGGAAGAGGAAAGAATGGGGATTTGTTGTTTAATGGATATAGACTTTCAGTTTTGCAAAATTTAAAGAATTCTAGAGATGGATGGTGGTAATGAATGCACAACAGTGTCAATGTACTCAATGTCCCTGAACTGTACACTTAAAACGTGGCTGAAATGGTAAATTTTATGTTATGTGTATTTTGTCATAATAAAAAAAGAAAATCAAGGAACTGAACTCCTCAGAGGGCCTGGTGGTGCTCCCACTTGGAACTGACAGACAAGCAATCTATTAGCCGACTCTATCTCTAACCTTATCTACTCAGACTCTATCCTGCCCAGGCTCACACTGTTTACTTCAACTTCCAAAAGAGCAAACAGGCCCACACGGTGGCTCACGCCTGTAATCCTAGCACTCTGGGAGGCCGAGGCTGGCGGATTATTTGAGCTCAGGAGTTCGAAACCAGCCTGAGCAAGAGCGAGACCCCCGTCTCTACTAAAAAAAAAATATAAAGAAATTGTCTGGACAACTAAAAATATATAGAAAAAATTAGCCGGGCATGGTGGCGCATGCCTGTAGTCCCAGCTACTCAGGAGGCTGAGGCAGTAGAATGAGGCAGTAGAATAGCTTGAGCCCAGGACTTTGAGGTTGCTATGAGCTAGGCTGACGCCACGGCACTCACTCTAGCCAGGGCAACAGAGTGAGACTCTGTCTCAAAAAAAAAAAAAAAAAAAAAAAAAAAGCAAACAGTACTCCTGCTCTACCAGTCCTATGTCAAAGCAACAACGAACTTAATTCCTCTACACCTGCCTCCTCTTTAAAACACGGTTAATTCCTACGTATGCACCTCACAAGGTTGTTATGAGAGCAAAAGTGAGATCATGTATATAAAAGAAGCTTTAAACTGGCAAGCACCAAAGATACATAAATTATGTTTATAACTACTTTCATATGGAAATTCAGAAGAGGCTTTAATATAAGCTTCACAAAGCTTGGAACACCTCATCGATGCTTCATTCCCTTTAAAACCCACATGATTCCCCAATAACAACCTTTATTGTTTTTGCAATAAACCGAAGGGCAGCTTAAAAAAAAAAAAATCAACCACCCAAAACGCAATCAGAAATTATCTTACATGCCCTGTGAAAATTGGGTATTTATGACCCCAGCGTGGGGCCGTGGCGCCCCGGGACTACAGTTCCCACAAAGCATCGAGGCGAACCCGGGTGGCGGGCGGGGCGGCCTGGGATTCAGGGTGACCAACGCTCTCCCCGAATATGGATGGCAGTCCCCGGAAAATTGCAGTGTTTATGGTCGAATGTGCACTGACTCTCCTTTCTAAAAGCGCTGTCACCTCGTGGTTTCTCCTGCAGTTACCACGGCACCCCTCTCTGCCCTCCCTGCTCCACCTGAGGGTCACCGCCTATTCAAGACCTTTCAGCTGGTTTCTAGGGTGTCACAGAAAAACGCCTTCTCCCCCTTCCCATTTCCAGAACTCGCCCAACAGTCGGGACCGGGTGCCATGGCGGGGTCAGAAGGGACGGGCAAACACTGCTCGTCACCCTGGGGCTCCGGGTTGTCCGCCAGCCCAGGCACTGCGGGTACGGAGCTGGGCTCCCCCACCCCCGGGCCGGGGCGGATCGCGGGTAGAGGTGGCTCCGCCCGGGGCTCCGGTTTCAATTTCGCAACGTGACGGTGCAAACCTGAGGCCTACAATCGCCGGCGGCGGCGGCGGCCCGCGCCCCGCCCGCCCGCCAGGCCCGAGCGCCCCAGCCCCCCGCACGCCGCGGCCGCCGCCCGCCCACCCAGCCTGCCGGCCCGCGGGCGCAACACGCCCCAACCCTCCGGCCCGGCCCTGGCCGCCGCCCCCCGGCCCTGCACGGCGCCGGCTCTGGCGCCGGCTCCGGCTCCGGGCCGCAGGGTCGGCCACCGCACTTACTCAGCTCATCCTGGGAGGCGGAGGCGGCGGCCGCAGCCATGTTGTGCCGGGGAGGGAGTGAAGGAGGGGCCGGGAGGGGGAGGGCGCGGAGAGGGGCTCGCGGCTCACGGTGCAGCAGGGGCCGAGAGCCGCCTCCGGTCACTCGGCGCGGTCCGCGCTGCGCCCCCGAGGCCCGCCCGGCGCCGCCTGCGTCCTCCGCGTTGCGAGCGTCGCTTTTAGCCGCCCCCCGCAAGCTCGCGACTCCGGCGATCCCGCAGCCTTGCGCCTCTGCGGAGCCGCCGCCGCCCTCTGTGCGGCCGAATCCCCGTGCGCCAGGCCGCGCGGCGGCTCTACGACTCCGCGCCGCGCTCGCCCAACTCACGCCGGTTTTATATTTAGAAAGAGCTGAGCCATCCTCCCAGCGGCCCCCCCGCCGGGCCTCTCGCGCGCCCGCCCGCCCTCGCTCGCTCGCGGATCGTCCTGCCCACCTGTCGCCGCCCGCCCCGCGAGCGCTCCCCGCGCGGACCCGGCACGCGGCGGCCTGCGCGGGCGGCCGGGCCTAGCCGCCCCGCCGCGCGCGGAGCAGCCTGGCGCGGGCCGGACACACGGGCCTCTGACCTGAGTCCGAGCCGGTCTCCATCCTGGGAATGCTGCGCTCGGCGCCGCGGGGCGGGGGCCGAGGAGCGAGGCGTTTTTCGGGCCGTGCCCGGAGAAGCCGCGCGCTGCAGTCCGCGAGGGGCTTGGCCGAGCTGACCCAGGCTACTTCGGCCAGGGAAGATCCTCGAGGCGAGGCCGACGCTCCTTTTTAAAGGTTTGTGGCTGTCACGTTGGCTGGGCCCGACCTGAAGAAACACGCCTGTCCAAAGGAAGAGACGTGGACTCAGAAAAGTAGAGCCGGGTTCGGAGTCTGCGGGAGGAAGCCCCGCCCTGCGCCTCCCGCCGAACTTCTCGCCGGGGCGCTGACTCAGTCCCGGGCGAGCCCCGGCGCCGCGAGCGGCCCGGGACAGGCCAGTAATAAGGTATAGGTTGCTGATGCTCAGGAGCGGGCTACCGAGTGAAGGAAACTCACTAAGCCCTACGAAAAGTTTCATGAACCAAGATTTGTAAAGTTCAAATAGAAGTATGTATGCTTATATTAATATGAGCTATTAAGATTTTGTTCAAATACCTACGTTCTTTATGGTAACCAGAGTGATTAATTTTCGGTATACGGTTTTAACGTTATGCCTTCAGTTTGTCCGTGAGGTCACGTGCACTCGTAAAATGGAATTTAAATTAAGGGGTTGCATAATTGCTGTATTTTAAGTGCCAGTATTGTCATAACAAATTAGGTACAAGATCAGATCTTCTCTCTCTCTCTTTTTTTTTTTTTTTGTTGGTATAAGAGGAAGAAATCAAGATGGTACAGTGGATTGAAATTGTATTTATTCCTCAAAGCGGAAATGTATAAAGCTCTAATTGTATTGAAAATTGAATATCTGTTATTCTAGATGTGACATGGTACTTACACAGCACTGAAGACATTCTTACTTCCTTTGTTGTTTTTATTATAGAAATTATCCATGGGCTTTGTAAGAAATGGAAATGATTTGGAAATCATAGAAGTGAAAGTCCTTTCTCTCAGTCCCACCATCCCACTCCTGGGAGAAATTATGTTTAACAATTAAAGTGTGCGTCCTCCAAGACCTTCTCTCTGCACAGTATATGCAGCCTCAGAAGGCTTTGATGGAGATGAAGTTCATAAGATAAAGTTCTGGATCAATGTTTTTTCCCCCACACACATTGTTCTATGTAAATTCAGAAAACTCTACACCACCACCACCTTTTTTTGTTAATGACTTCATAGCACTTTAAGTTAACCAAACCCTTTTTTCATGGACACTCCTGCTCTTTTGTTTGATACTGCCTCCAAAATAAATGCAAAATGAACTACTTAAAAACAAAGCACACTAAAGCAACGGTCTCCCCAACTCCATGCCCACCATCCCCATAAATCATCCCCGTTGACAGTTCATATACAACATCTCCTCACTATTTGTGACTATATAAAGTGGCTGCACCAAAAACTGGTTTGGGGAATCACTGGCTTCCCATAACCCCACATGAATCCTTCTAAAGCCCTCTCCCAAATAAAAATGGAATCTAAATAAAAAACAGTGAGTTTGTTAGGCGATTTTAACCTCCAGGTAAGACCGTTTAGCAAATAGTTCGTCCTATGCAGATGATCATAACTCACTGTGACCTTGAGTTCCTAGGCTCAAGTGATCCTCCTGCCTCAGCCTCTCAAGTAACTGGCACTACAGGTGCACGCCACTGCGCCTGGATAATGTTTTTTGTAAAGTTTTTGTAGAGACAGGGGTCTTACTGTCCAGGCTAGTCTCAAACTCCTGGCCTCAAATGATCCTCCTACCCAGCCTCTCAAAGTCCTGGGATTACAGATGTGAGCCACCATTCCTGGCCACCTTTATAATTAGGTTGATTTAAACAGTACTTAGTGGTTGTCTTTTCTCCCAGTCCTCTCAGCTCCGTAACTGAGGTTAGTGGAGGAACATTATCAGGGGGGCTCCTGGAATTACACAGTTTCTCAGGGATACCAATCCTTTTAGTTCATTCAGGCTGCTATAACGGAATACTATAGACGGGGTGGCTTATAAACAACAGAAATTAATTTCTCACAGTTCCGAAGGATGGGAAGTCTAAGATCAAGGCGCAGCAAATTTGGTGTCTAGTGAGCCCCCACTTCCTGGTTCATAGACTTCTTACTGTGTCCTTACATAGCAGAAGGGTCAAGGGAGTTCTCCAGAGTCTCTTTTTTAGGGGCACTAATCCCATCAGGGCAAAACTCTCGTGACCTAATCATCTACCAAAGGCTCTACCTCCAAATGCCATCACATTGGGGGCTTAGGATTTCAACATACGAACTTTGGGGGAACACATTCAGTCCATAACATATTTCTTTTCAGAATAACAAGTAGCTTTAAAAAAAAAAAAA